TCATAGCTAAGAAATCAGAAGAGTACATACTGCAACACTTGAACCTACAAAGATTTTTGAAAGGAGAATATTTGTCATACCTACTGTAAGATTTCAACTATTTAGTGTCTCAAACCAATTTTCATTAACGTGAATAAATAAACAATAAATACTTTTGAGGGATAATGTTGAATCATGTGAAATATCACTATATTTTGTGCTTTTTGTACAGGAGTTTTCAAATTGTTTTGAAAAAAAACTTCAAAGAGGTATTGATGTAAAAGATATGATTAACACTTTAAATTCCAATGCAACACAAGTACTGATTAAGGACTAAAATAGGCTATTGTGAAAAGTACAATGTGTAGGACTGGATGATCCTGCTAGAATCAAAATAGATTCACTATTGAAAATAAAAGTGTGTTTGTTCTCTGAGTTTGACTTTTAGAATTATTCTTTCTGGCACTCCTCAAATTCCTTTATGTATTTCTCTCAGTTAATATGCCTGAGTACACTTCTCAACTGCAATGCCTTAAAACCCAAGGAAAGACTGTGGCATGAGACAGCAGCTTGAATGAGGTGCTGGTATTGTTTACAAGTGTTTCGCTTTTGAAGAGTGTTTCTGAAATTAGCCTGAGTGCTACCTGTGAAGATAAGCCAACAATGGCATTTTTGCATAAACCATTAGCTCTATTTGTGAATGTCTAAAATATTCCGTAATCTCAGGAGAGAACAGTGCCTTTTGACATGATACAGTCATTAATATTGTCAAAGCACTGAAGACAGAGCTCCAGCAATATGCTAATAGAAACCTGATGAAGACTAAAAATGCTTGTCAGTGAACCAAAAAAAATCTGTCAGCAGCCTTCTGCATACATAGGTGCTGTATTCATTAAGAAAGAAAGAAAAGTTATTAGCTGTTTATAAAGACCATTTCAAAGAATAAAAACTGCTGTGATATCTAAGTTATGAGATTGCAAGCAAACTGTTGACAACAGGCACTACAAGAGGAGGAGGAGATGGGAAGGAATAATGTAGCAGCATCTATTATACGTGTGGAAAAGGATGCCAATGCATTTTCATGAGAAATTATATCAGAAGCTATTTTTACTTCCCGCTGCCAAAGGCCTACTTCTTTACACCTTGCAGAGGGAGACACCCCCCATATTTTTCCCATGTGTCATTAACATTGCCAAAATTATTTCTGTGTATCAATAAAATGGATTGTAGAATCACCAGGAGAGTGTCTACCAGGCACTCTGTAATTCGGTTACCAAAGTAATTCATTTCCTCCAAGGAAGGGGAAGTCACCCAGTGCTGGCCAGTCTGTTCCACAGTCCCTTTGTTATCAGGCACTGTTTATGGATAAAGAATTAGTTTATTGTATTAAAGGGATAAATATTCAATTTCAAAATCCAAAATGAAATTATGAAAACAGAAAACACATTGCCTGAGAACTCAGCTGCATCCTTACGTGGTTTTGCTGTCTCTCCTAGGACAACATTCAGCCTTGAGAGATGCGGGTGATTGTAATCAACTTTTTTTCTCAACTTTTATGAAAAGTTTGCTCAGTTTGCTTGTTGTGGCTTTTCTGAACTGTATTGATTCCTACCGCACGTCCCAAACTAGTCCATTCTCTATAGCTTACACAGCTCTGGTAGTAAATTGCAAAACTGTAAAAGATGAATCAAAGTGCATCTTTGTTAGCACTGGTTTATGCCTGCTTACCCATTACACATCATAAAATTACAGACTCATTTAGTTTGGAAAAGACTTTTAAGATCATTGAGTTCAACTGTAAAACTGGCACTGCTAAATCCGCCATGACCCAAAGCACCACATCTACAGTCAGCGGTGATTCCATCACTTCCCTGGACAGCTTGTTCCAATGCTTGACTATATTCCTAGTGCAGAATGTTTCCTAATATCCAACCTAAACCTTCCCTGGCACAACTTGAGGCCATTTCCTTTTGTCCTGTTGCTTGTTACTTAGGAGTTGAGAGAAACCAACCCCACCTGGCTACAACCTCCTTTTAGGTAGTTACAGAGAGCAGTGAACTCTCCCCAAGCCCCCTTTTCTCCAGGCTGAACAACCCCTGCTCCTTCAATTGCTCATCATAAGGTGCTCCAGACCCATCACCATCTTCATAGCTCTTCTTTGGATGCACATGGAGAACGTACTAGGCAGAAACAACAGCAAGCAGCTTTGACAGTGGTTCTGCCTTAACTGGGGGAAGCCTCCCTGGGCTTTCTGCAGGCAGCCCTGCCACCAGTGCCCATGTGAGAAGGGCTTGGTGCAGGGTGGCATTTATAGGAAAGCTTTCCCTTTGCGGCTCATACCTTAGCCTGGAAAAGAGGAGGCTCAGGGGAGACCCTATCACTCCCTACAAAAACCTGAAAGGAGATTCTAGCCAGGTGGAGGTCGGTCTCTTCTCTCAGGCATCCAGCAATAGGACATGAGGACACAGTCTTAAGCTGCCCCAAGGGAAGTTTAGGTTGGACATTTGGAAGAAGTTCTTCACAGAAAGGGTGACTGAACGTTGGAATGGACTGCCCATGGAGGTGGTGGAGTCACCATCCCTAGAAGTGTTTCTAAGGTAAGACTGGATGTGGCACTTAGTGCCACAGTCCCGTTGACACGATGGTGTTATGGACGTGATGATCTCAAAGGTCTTTTCCAACCTAGCTGGCTCTGTGATTCCAGCAGCAGAATGGAGCATATGGATGCCGCCGGTGGAGCAGTGAAGCCTTGGCACACCTGAGAAGCGCGGACAGGAATGCTGGCCCAGCACCGGGGCAGCGGAGCGCTCCGGGCGGGTGGGAGAGGAACCACCTCTCACTTACACCGGCTGACCCGGAACGCGGCGCGCCTCCCGACGGGACGGATGAGGGGCTCCAGCGCCGGCCTTCCGGCCTGAAAGACAAACTCGGACGCAGCCCTCCGCGGCGGGGGAGGGCACGTAGGGCTGCCCGGGGAAAAGCGGGGCCGCGCGGGGGGCGACGGACGCGGGGCAGGCCGGGGACAATCTCCGCCCGCCGAGAGCCCCGGGATGGCTCAGCCCGGCCCGGCCCCGCCCCGCCAGGGCGGCTCGGAAGGCATGCTGGGGCTTGTAGTCCCACGCGACGCGGTCCCGCCTCCGGCGGCAAAACTACAACTGAGCGAAACTACAACTCCCGGCGGGCCGAGGGGCGTGTCTCGGGCGCCGTGTCCGAGCCCTCACGGGGCGGGGGCCGATCCCGCTAGGTCGGGCCGCGCGGGCGGGGCTTCTCCGTGCCCACCGCTCGCTGGCGGGACTCGCCCGCCCTCGGCCCGGCAGCGGGGCAGGACGCGGCTGCCGCCCGGAGCTGGCGGCACACACCGCTCACGGCTCAGCGGAGCGTGGGTCGGGGGCGGCTCGGTTGAGCGGGAGGTGGCGGCAGCGGGAGCGGGGCTCCAGCGCGGACACCCTCTGCCCGGCTCGCTGCCCTGCGCTTCCAGCCCGGCCGGCGGGCGGCTGCCTGCGGGGAGGTGGCGATGGAGAAGAGCTAGTGCAGTCACCGCGCTCCAGTGGCCGGGGAGAGGGCCGGGCCGGGCCGGCTGGTGCGAGGGACCTGCTGCCCTGTCGCCGAGAAGCGGCTGAGTGACCGAGCGGCCGGGAGCGGCGGAGGGTGCGCGCCTGTGTGGTCCCGTCCCCCGCCGGCTCCTCCCGCGGGCGGGCGGGCGGCCGGCGCTGCGGTGGTTACCGCCTCCCCTGAAAATGAAGAGGTGGTGGCAGCTGCTGCTTCGGGGTCTGGCTGCCGGGGGGAAACCTGGATAGAGGCTCGTAAAGAAGGGTGAAGAGAAAGTCGCCGCTCTCTGGTTCGCGAAGGGGGAAGCCGGGCGTTTTTCTCACCTCGCTGCGGGGCCAGAGCACAGCGAAGCCAGGGACGCCGGCGGGAGCCGCTCTGTGCGCCGGGGGAGGGGGCGGGATGCGGGGGGGGCCCCGGCACCGCCGCGGGCCGTGGGCGAGAGCCTGCGGCGGGGCGGGGGGCGAGCGGCGGCGCTGAGCCGGGCGGCGAGGATGGTGCGGGGAGGGAGAAGTCCTGGCAGAGAAATAGCGGCGGAGAAGCCTCCCTGTCCCCTGCCTGCCAACCTCCCTGCCGCGGGGCCGAGGCGCTGGGGAGCATGAGGCGGCGGCGGGGACCTGTTGTGTAGGGAGAGGCGCGGGCAGGGAGGATGAGGAGGACCCGCTCCCGAAGCGCTGGTGTCTGTCGGCGAGCGGCCGTGCCCCGGGCTGCCGCGGGCTCGGGAGAATCCCTTCCTGTGGAGTGGTGACAGGGGAGCTCTGCGCCCCTGGCTCTGCGCGGAGCGGCGGCCGCTTCCCGCTGGACTGCGGCTTCGGGAAGAGGAGAGCTTCAAGTGTTCTTCGGAAGCTGGAGTTGCAGCCTGGTTCCTTACTTGCCTTCTTTTTTCTTTTTTCTTTTTTTTTTTTTTCCCTCCCCTCCCCCTTAATGATTTGTTTCGCGTGTCTCTCGAGGGAACGAACGTCTTAGGAATGGTCATTTTTAGCAGTGGAATCTGCTGCGCAAAGGAGGATTATAACAAATCTCTATGAATGATAGACTCGATTGCTAAACCTTGCCTTGACCAACCTTCTGACCCTCGGAGAAAACTCTCAGGGTTTGCGTGGGAAGGAAGGAACCTTCCCATTTGAAAATAAACTTCATTTAAAAAGACTGATTTTTTTTTTTGAGAGCCTAACTGATTTATAATTACTTTTTTTTTTCTTTTTGTCCTGTTTTGTGATAAGTTGTTTTTAAAAGGATTGTCCTACGTGGCTGTTTTGTGACTGGTGGAGGAAGGAAGGATCCCTCCCAAGCGTTTCTGATATGACAGCTTTGGTTTCTGAAGAGTTAAGTGGTGTTTGCATGATACACCTATTGCTAGACTGAGAGCAGACTTTTCATCGTTTTATTTGCTTTTTTTATTAACTGGGGCTGGTGGAGAGGGCTCTCTTGGACAGAAAAATATTTGCACATATATATTTGTATATATTTTTGGTGGGGTTCTCCCCACATTTTACTCTTTCTTGATGACTCCTGGAGGTGGTAGTGGGCCCATGAAAGACTGTGAATACAGTCAGATCAGCACACACAGCTCTTCGTCTCCCATGGAGTCTCCCCATAAGAAAAAGAAATCAGTTCCCAAGAGAAAATGGGAGGTTTTTCCTGGAAGAAACAAATTCTTCTGCAATGGGAGGATCATGATGGCTCGACAGACTGGAGTCTTCTACCTGACTCTTGTTCTCATCTTGGTCACCAGTGGACTCTTCTTTGCATTTGAGTAAGTGACTTTAAAGTCTTCGTGTATTCCTTCTCCTCCTCTAGTTATTAATTTTCTGGCTGAAAGCAAAATTAACGTTTTTATTTAGGAGAGAATGCTGACTGAATTCCACCAATATTGATTTATGTGATTGAAAATACCATCTGATAAGATGCTGAGGAGTGCACAGTACAGTTTGGGTTATCATACTCTGTGGAAAACTAATGAGAATTGAAGTTGCTTTTATACCACAGGTTTCCAGCTCTTGCTGGTGTTGAAAGAGGAGTGTAAAACAGCAGGTTTGGGATGACCAGGAAATGATGAGGCTCCTCATCTGTCAATTACTCTGAGAATCAAAACTGACACATGCAAAAATACTGACTCTTTGTCACAGAACCGAATGCAAGAAAAACAGTACTTTTCATTAGTAGAATAATCTGGAATGATTTTGTTTTCTCTTGACATCATTTTAATAGCCTGTAGATGAGAATTTGAAGTGAGAAAAAAAAGAGCTGTACAATTTTGCATGTACCTAGCTTTCCACCACTAGGTAACAGCATTACTTTTTCTTTGCAATAACTTGTATGGGAGTTTAGTCTTAGTTTAAGCTACATTTGCTTTGGGGGTTTTGACTGTATTTTTTAAAGTAAGCTTCTGGCATCCTTCTAGGGCCTTTTTCTCTGTAGCTGTGGAGTCCTTTTCATCTGTATAAAGTGAACACACAGTGACAGCAAATCAAATATACTGATTTTTGCTCTTATGTTGTAGTAGTTAAATTAACTACACATGGCAATAAAGAGTTAGGCACTTGATGTGAGCAATATTGTGTAACTTTTCTTTACTTACTTTTATTTAGGAACTAAGTACAAAGAAGTTCACACTGCTAAAACACTTCCTATAAGAATAATTAAGTTATCTTAAAGGGTTAGTGCTCCTTTGCCTGCTTTAAATTACTGTGGTTTGACTTGTGGCAGTAAAATATCTTCAAATTAGTTTTCTTTTCTGCAGTAATAAGAACTATTATTTATAACTAAGCTTCATTGGTGCCTCCAGAAATTGTTTTGCTAAGCACTACAGTGGAAAACCAAAGGTCACTCATTACTTGGTGTCTTCAAGCAAGAAGATAAGGGCATTAACAAACCCTAAATTGTACCTGTTAAGTGCAGATCATCTTAACAATAGCGATAGCAGTAAAGAAGGTAAAAAAGCTCAGCAGGTAACCAGTAGCTAAATGCATATGTGAGCTCAATAGATGAATTGTCATTAGCGGGCTCCAGATCAAATGTGAATCTTCTGCAGACATTATGAAGCGGCTTGAGTATCATTTGAGTAGTTGAAATAACACAGACAATGACGGTATCCACTCTGCAAGTGTGTTTACTTTGCTGGTTTAAAACAGTTGTTAAAGGTGTAACCTTTAATAGTGTGATCATATTGCATTAGGACTGGGTGCTACTCTCTTCTGTTTGCCATGATTAAGCTTTTGGAAAGCTTTTCTATGTGGGCTGACACTGCTGTCTGTGTGCAGTCTCATCACCTTCAGCACAGCCTCTGAAGCCTGCTGGACTCCGTGCAGATCCCAGAATGTAAATGTAGGATTTGAAGTGTAATGTTCTATAATCAGGATTGTACAACTGATTTATTAAGCCACCATTTGCAATTTTTTTATATGTTTTAATACTTTGATCTTTCAGAGATAAATTTTCTTTGCAGCTGCATGATTCAGAACTGCTAAAACAGGATGAGCTGCTAGCTGTTCATCACCTTCTGATTTCATCACTTCTGTGAGCTACATGCTCTACCAGAGTTGAATTCTGCAACTTCCATTGTGTATTGGAGAATATTTGCAGTGTAACCATATGTGATTGACAAGATTTTTAGTCAAGGATTTTCATATATACTTGGTGCTTATTCTTACTGGCAGTCTTGAAGCAGGGAGGAATCTTGGGCTTTATATAACAGAACTGTATTAATTCTCTGTGTGTGTACTGATCTTGGGTCATTCTGGTATCACTTGCACTGCTAAGGAAAATCAAAGTAGAAGGTGACAATGGTATTTCATTTTTGTAATGATAAGGTAGATTTTGGTCTTTAGAAAGCCCTTGCATTGAAAAATTATTACTCATTCTCTGAAGGCTAATTAAACCCCAAATCTAAAGACTGTGAGAATGGTTTCAGTATGTCTGTGGTAGTTAAACTGCAGAGAGTTGTTAATGTTAGAAAGAGGGGAGTCTCTTAATGAAGAGTGTTACTTTCAAGCAGTTTTTACTTGTGTCTGTTCCTAGTAGTGTAAAGTTACTATTTATTGATCAGTGATAACATCCTGAGTGTTAAGTGTCACTGCCATTATTGGCTGGTTTGATTATGGCGTTCCTCATTAACCAGCCATTTATTTAATATGACAGAAATGTCTTTCCATCCTTCATGTGCCTGTGGAGCACAGTGGTTTTTAAATGAAGGTGTGCCCTGTGTGTCTGAAACGTAAGGTCAAACTGCCATTGAAGAGGAAGGTATCCTGTATGTTCTTGGAAATGTTTGGGTTTTTTTGCTACAGTGGAAATAAATTATTTTGTTCCCTTTGGTTTTGGAAACTTGAAAATGGGTACTCATGGTCGGTTCAAATCATTCCCTAGTTACAGGGAAGTGGGGGAAGTAGGAAAGATTACTTTGACAGCTAATTCCTTGGAAAGCATCATGCTAACATAAACAGTTGCCCTTTATACTTTGGCTTCGTTTGTTCATTCAGTGTGATTTCCCTCCCTTCTATTTTACTCTTTACATCCATACCTCCAGAGCTGTATCTCATGTGCTTTGGAATACTCTTCAGGGAAGAAATACATTTCCCAGAGTCAGCAAATCCTGTGTCTCCAAAAGCAAATGTATGTCACGCATCTTGACCTGTATAGCTTTTGACATCGAGTCATGCCTTTGTAATCTTTGTTTCTTTATATTTATGCTTTTGTGCTTTTTTTCCTGCCTACTTTCTGCAGGTCCTGCTTTCAACCGGTTTTATTCCTTCCTCTCTGTTGACTTTTATCTTTCATATACTCAAAGTACATCACCACTTCTTCCTTTTATCATTTCACTGTTCTTTTTCATTTTCAAAGAGATAAGCCAGAATTTGCTTAAAAGAAATACAGCAAACCATGAGTTTTCAAGCAGGTAAAATATTTATAAGTCCTGTTTCCCTCCCTTTCCAAAGGATGAGATTGCAAATAACAAGCAGTTTTATTTCTGTAACTTGTTTATTAAATGTAACATGAATGATTGCAAGCACTTATGGGTCCTAAGAGGGATGCTGTGCTGAGGTTTTCTTAAGAATGATGCCTATTTTAAATTGCTCAAGATGAGACACCACAAATTACTGAATTTGTCTTTGAAATGTGGCGATGTTACTCTACCTTGAAACTATTTTTCTAACCCTAACCTTGGGTTATTTAGCTGTTTCTTCTTTTTTTCTTGTAATTCTGCCTTGTGTTGCATTTTGGTTTTTTCCTTTGCCTTGCTCCAGTATACGGAGATGTATATTTTTCCAAACTATTTAGCACTCATTTATCAAGGTAGCTGCATTTAAAGCTTAGAAAACAAATTCCACAGAGCAAAGATAGCATCTGTAACTGAAGGGCAGATCTGTTGCTGTGTGTAGCCAGTTCAACCATTGCATTTACATGTATGTGAAGTCCTTTATTTGTGCAATAGAGGCAGAACTAACATACTTCATACTTACTGCACTTAGCTAGGTGTACATATTCAAAAGAAATAAGAGCCTTTTGTGCTCATGGTCATTTGGGGTCCTGTTTCTGTAGATTACAGGAAAGCAAAACGGAGATTGACACATTTAACACAGTAGGATTTGTAGAACAAACATATTGTTAAATGGCAAATCTCATGTGGATGCCCAAGATCACAAGTTCCAGAGAGGTGGCTGATGACCTCAGCTATGTTGCTACTGTGAGTTGCCCCTGGGTGCTCCCTTTCCTCTTGGGTCTCGCTGGGCAGGTAGCAGGAAGGAACATATCTGCACCTGGGCTGCTTCAGCTCAGGCAGGCAAATTAAACTTCCCATAAAACGTGGGTTTAAGGGAAGATGCCGACTGAACTGAATTGACTCCGGCACAGTCATGTTTTCTTCTGTCAACTTATTTGCAGGGTGAGTGGCTGTGGAAGAAGGTTGAAACAGATGGTAGGATGCTGGAAGGGCTGAAGCAGTGCAGCTTTTTTCTCTGTAAATGTGAATCAGAGCTCTATCACTTCTGATACCATTTGACGCTTGTACTGATTCAGCAAGCTGGAGGGTTTTGTAGTTTGTTTGTTTTGAGCTAACTAACACTTGACATTTTTAATTTTTTAATTTTTTTTTAGTGAGCATTTGTGTAATTGCATTTTCTTGCAAAAGATGTATGCTGGAAAATTATTTAAACTGAGGCTGTTTATGTGCATACGTGTGTACAAACCATTGATTTCTGTGCTCTCGCAGTTGCTGGCAACCTGCTCCATGCCTCCCACTTTGCAAACCGGTGTGACTGGAGGACATTCATGAGTCACACTTTCTGATGCTGTGTGTGGATTGTTCAATATTGAACTTCTGTGGTGGAGTGGTGTAACTTGCTGCTCACTGCGACAAACCTCTGTGTGTAAACAGTGATGTCAGTAAGCTGAGCATTTTCACTGTGGTATCAACAGCCCTTCTCATCTTATGGCAGGTCTTTTCTGCTCTTGCAAGAGGTGGTCTTTTAGCATGATATTATATGCCAAGTAGGTGGAATGTTCCTCTAGTAACCTCCTTTATCTTTGTTCCCTGCTCTTAAGACAAGTAAATTACTTGTGTCACTTGATGACCCTGTCCTTAAAATATGAGTTCTTAGAAGAAAGTGCTACCAATCCAACTTCAGCTGTTAGAGGCTGCTCTAAACTTGTAGGGCATTTCTAGTTGAAGATATCAAAATGGATTTTAAAGCAAAAATCATAGTATATAAACTAAAGTTATTCAATGAGAGAACTGCATCCTTTTTTATGTGGAAG